CACTCTCTCTCCTGCTCTCCTCTTCTTCTGCCATCCCTCTGGCCTCATCTCTCTCACCACTGCCTTCTTTGTCACTGCCTCTGTTGCTTTCCTTCCTTCACCTTTACTGTCTTCTTTTCTCTCTCCTTTTCCACCTTTATCCACTCTTCTTCTGTCTCCAGACCTTCATTTCTACTCTACATTTCTCTTTCTACCTCCTGGCTGTCAGGCACCAGTGCCACTCTTTTGGGATTTGGGTTTCCCTCCTCTACTTCTGCCATCCTGACGTTCCATTGATTTTTCTCTGCTCTTAAGGCATTGATCAGGTTCTCTGCCGATCACTTGATGTTAGCCAAAACGCTGAGATGCTGATGGGAACCTACCACATGGATAGGTTAGTGCAACCCATCTGAATATGGCATATGCTAGTGCCCATTAAGTGCAATCCCCCTCACAGTCGACCTTTTCGAGTCATGCTGAGCCATGACATTGCATACAGTTCACCCAGAATCCTTTTGTTGTGCCCTCTCTTAGCCTGGTAAATATGATTGGTGTGACTCAATCCTCTATAAGGTGAAGCTGGACCAGGTTGCCCTGTGCCTCATCTGCATGTAAATTTTTGGAGCGTCCCTGGATTTGCAACAAGAATGCCCAGTTCCAGTGATGAGGGGCTAATTAGCATATGGATGATTTGCAGGGGGGGGTAAACACATACTGAGCAGTGCTGAGCTGTGCGGTCACCATGGAAAGTAGGGCCATACTAATCATATGCCCCGGGCTGAGAGAGGGTGTGACAGAGGGATTCTGTGTGAACTGTATGCAGTGTCGTGGCTCACTATGGCTTGCAATGCTGTTGATTCTTGTGGGACTGAGCCCAGTGATATAAGTAGGTGAAAAAGTGTTGCTTAAAAGTGTATTTATGTAGTAAGTGTATGGGTAATATATGTAAATTGCTACAGCCATGTTTAGTTTCAGATTTATTGTTTCCAAATTTGCTTCTCACTTCCACATGCTTAGGGAGAGTGAAGTCTGACAGTAAGTGGAGGGGAAAGGGGCTGCCAAGGGAAAAAGTTTGTGGGAAGCAGAGAACAAAAGGCTACCTGATCTCCCAGCTTTATTTTCCCTGCTGTAGGTGGGGGGCAGCAAATTCAAGGCAAACCTCCAATAATTAGATTCTATACCTGGAAAATTATAACGCATTTATAACTTTTCAATGTATAGAATCTAATTATTGGGGGGTTCATCTTATAATCAGGTTCATCTTCTATTCGAGTAAATATGGTAATTGAAATTGAGACTTTTACTGAATTTATTTAATCTATATTTAAATAAAAGATCAGTGTTAAGTGTTCACAGGCAAATCCAAAACTGAGAATTGTTAATAAATACAAATTGCTTTCTGCTGTCTCACTGTGACTAGAAATAAATGGTATTCTAGGTTGATCTGTCAATAAAGTGAGGTGTGCACAAGAATGACCTTTATGTGCATTCTTTAGTGAAAGCTTCATTTAATGAATTACTGCTGTTTGAAGACAAATTGGTTTGAAAAAAAGTTTCCAAATGTAATTAAGTTGAGGAAGGGAATGATGGTTTCGGGTTTTTTTTTAAACGTATACAGTAGAAATTTTAAACTTTATTTTTAATTAACCCATTTACAGGAGTGTGAACTAGTTAATATGTTTTCTTGTATATGCAGTTACAGCATAGTATTGAAATGTATAACTAAATTATACCTTTGTCTTTCTGGAAGATAAAAGTGCATTGTTTTATTTTAATTATAGCAATTTCTATCTTAAGTATTGCATATTAAGATATTCTATCTTAAGTATAAGCAATTTCAATCTCAAAACTTAAGATAGAAATGATCTACATTGTATTTGAAACACCATTTAAGACCTTTTGTGTCCTCCTGTCCTCTTGACATGGCTGCATTCTTTCTTTATATGTTCGTTGGGTGCTGGGCATATATACTGTAAGTACTTTAGATGCGCTCTTCCCATCTAATTGAATGAGTCGGAGAATGTTTGGGGAAGGGTGGAGAAGGGAGTGAGTACGCTCCTTATTTTAAAGAGGGGAAACCAAAGTTGCAGTTTTTATGCTGAGTCAAAAATTTTATGCAACTTCAAAATGTTATGCTTGTTTTGGGGGTAGAATTATGAATTGCCAATGGATTAAGGTTTTAGATTTGAAGTTAGGTGCTATATACAGATGTGATCTTTTGAACTTTATTAAGTGAGTAATTCTCCAAGGAGACTCACCATTAGAAGCCTAATTGTGTGAATACTTCTATTTGCACTAATAACTTTCACGCTGCATGAAATTTGGAGATGAAACAAAGTCATATTGTCTCTCTCTCTCACACAAGACATATTGGTTTGTTCAAAATTTTAGCTTAATTTTAAAATTATTCTGATGTGTTGGTATTTTTTTGCCTTAGAAACTTATGAACTTAGATAATTAAAGGACCCATTTTTTTCAATACAAGCCTTGATTTACTCCTGCCAATCATACAGCTAAAATTGTGGCCTCCTTGCCTCCTCACATAAGAGCCTTCTTCCCTTTTCAGTTTTTTCTGATGTAGGTAAGAATAGGAGAGGAGCGGATGGAATATTAGGCTCTGTCCACTCAGTGTTCAAACCAGGATACTTATGCTGGTTCTATGGGACAGGTACATTACACCTTAAATGAGTTGCTTCACTTGGCACACAGGGGACATTGAGGCCTGGATTGTGGTGTTCTGTTTCACAGGGCTCATACAGGCATTCAGTTTCTCCTGGAAAAGTTACTGTTCTCCATGGAGAACCCAGAAGTGTACAGAATTTTATGCTTTTTCTCCCAGAGTAAAAATGGCTGCTCCAGGAGAAAAATAACTTGGGAACAACCAGAATATCTTCTGGGAGAGTAAATGCTACATGCCATAAATTCACTCATAAGAGAACATAGTCCTTCAGCATTCTGCCCCTGTCACCACTCCTCAGGGAGACAGCGTATTGCTTGCTGGACTCTGCTGCTGCTGCAGCAGGGAGTGGCACACACCCCTTTTACAATCCCCACATTGTGCTGTAGGGAGGTTGCCCATGGGCATGCTGGGTCAGCCAATCAGGGCTGCCCTATGCACTGCGGCCATCTGTTGCCAAACAGACTAGGGAAGCCTGCAAAGCATGCTGAGATGTCTGCACAGTCCCGTTCCCTACCCTTCCTTTCCTCTCTCCCCCACAGGCTGTAAATTCTACTCTTTAGGGCTTAGCATTCAATTGTCTGTACACACAGCTCTGGATGAGTTTCTCCATCAGGAAAATAGCCCTGGGAGAATTCTCTCAGATTATTTGAATGTGTGTACGCAGCCGCAATCTACCTCTTGGTCTGCTCCTGGGGCTATGCAGCAACACATTGCCTCTTCATCAGTGCTTACGACAAAGCCATTATTTACTCCAAAATTGAATGAAGATATTTTATTGCATATTTTATATGCAGGTACTATTTTACTAACTTTATAATTGACTAAATTTACAATGTGATTTCTTATTTGGATTATTAGATTATTGTGTTGCTGTGATTGAAATGGAAGGGTGTATTCGTTTTCATTTTCTATATATTTTCCACGTGAATCTATTATTGCAGCTTCTGGCAAATAAGATGTGACAAATTACTTGACATTTTTTCTCCCAGATGATCCTTTTATGGACTTTCTTCTCTGCCAGTAAATTTATGTGAGCAACTAAAGTCTATGGCTCCTTTTGTATTTTTATAATTTTTCATGCTTCCTACCTCCTATCTCCTACTTGTGTATGATAAATTACTTATAAATCTCCTTTGGATAAGTTTTTTCTTAATTGTAATGTATTTTTTTTTGTTTTAAAATGAGGATTGTGAGGCTTCAGACTTCAGATAAGGACTTTAGTTCATGTTCAGCTATATTGTTTGCATAGTATAGTTTAGCCTTCATAATGCAAAATGTGTATAAATTCTAATGGCCAGTTTTGAATTACAACTCTTAGCATTGGTGGATCTAGTATTTTGAAAAGCGGGGTTCAGATGGTGTGACATGTCATCACATATAACACAACACATTATTTTTCTCCAGTTGGAGAGAAACCAGGAGCTTTACAGATATGTTAGCCCTATAGTATTCAGTTTAATGTCAAAGCAAAAAAATATAACTATTAGAATGTGCACTGATATGCTAGATTATATATAAAGTTTGAAAAAAACACAACAAACTAGGCAAAAATATTCAAAATATATTGTATCATTAGTCACATAGTCATAATATTTAAATATATCTCTCTTATTCAGATTCATAAAATCAAATCTTGCCTTCTTAAGCATCTGGACAGTGCTGCCAATAGTGTTAGTCATTTCTACATGTGAATTAATATTGTCACACCTGAGTTAAGGTTTAGAGCTAGAAGCAGTCAACAGGGCTATGTATTAGAAGAGAGATATTACCAGGAATGACTAACAGCCAGCAAAATTTCAGAAGAAAGGAAAGCTTGAATAGCAGAACATTAAGACCTTTACAAAGTATGATTGAAGGTCATTTACACCTGTGGAGTAGAGAGATATTAGCAGGAATCAGGGAGATGATAACGAGCCATGAAGTAAACTGACTGTTTCAGTACTGCCTGGCAGAAATGCTGTTGTCCCTCCCAGGCAGGTGGTTTTAAAGTTTGGATGGAGTAAGAATTAACGGGGGTTTGGGGGGGGGGGGTGGTGCAGCTGTCCCGCCGCCCCAGATCTACCCTGACTTTTAATATATTTTTGTTTTTATTTTGGAATTTGTATTTAATTGTATAATGATTTTTCTTTTTTTTGTTTCAGATAGATGCTTCTGAGAGTGAGCCAAAGAGTTTTATCTTTATGAGTGAAGATGCAATGACGAATCCAGATAAACTGATAGTTTTAATTCATGGTAGTGGTTGTCCCGCCGCCCCAGATCTACCCTGACTTTTAATATATTTTTGTTTTTATTTTGGAATTTGTATTTAATTGTATAATGATTTTTCTTTTTTTTGTTTCAGATAGATGCTTCTGAGAGTGAGCCAAAGAGTTTTATCTTTATGAGTGAAGATGCAATGACGAATCCAGATAAACTGATAGTTTTAATTCATGGTAGTGGTGTTGTCAGGGCAGGTCAGTGGGCTAGAAGACTTATTATTAATGAAGATCTGGACAGTGGTACACAGATACCATATATTAAGAGAGCTATTGAGGTAAGTAAATATATGTGTGTGTATTAACTATCAGTAATTTGTATTTTTTTTGTTTTTTAAGCTATGTTAAATGGAATTCCCAGAAATTCATTATGTTCATGATTAGAATGGTTTCCTCCTTTTATTTTTAAAAACCTTTTTTCAGATACTTTACTATAAAAGAGAAAGTTGTTTCCTATTGTATGTCATATGGTTGTGGTGGCACTTCTGTCTCATTTAGTGTGGCAGGTAGAGTTATAAAGCCTTCAAACTAAAAAGGAAGAATACAAAAAGAAATCCATAAGTTGTTAAGATCTGAAGTGTTTTCTTTTATATTTCATCAGATTTGTGTATTCTCACTCAAATGTCTGTTGTAAAGCTCCTCTTAGCATGAGCTTTCACGATAACTTGATAACAGCAAGCTTTCTTAAGCATCTACCAAATTTTGCTAGTGTAGTATTTTTAATCCACCAAATCTTATTATGGCAGTTGCTCTAATTAGTTATATATTTTGCTTCATCTATCCATAGTTTAAAATTTAAGATGTTTACCATTTGTATGTTTCCTCCATATGGTAAGGGAAAAGTAGTAGCACAAGAAATCAGTGTGCAACTTGTGCAGATTTTGGAACACTGTGACTATTAAAATTAAAATTCATACTTTGCTCCATAAAACACACTTAAAACTTTCTGTAAGAATCATTTGAAAACCATGTATAATGTTTTTAGTATTTTTGGATTACTTATACATTAACTTTAATGTGTTATTCTTAATGTTCCTGTTCATTACAGTCTTCTTATAAATGTTTTGCCAAGTGCATCTGTAATTTCTGCAGTGATGCTTTGTATGTTGTGAGTGCTTTTTATGTAAATGTTTTTGTTAAAAGTTCAAAGCGAGGTCCTCATCAAAATGTTGAGTGTAGGTGAAGCACTTGGCTGTAACTGTGGAAAACAGGCTGGGATGCTAATGATGGCTTAGTTTTTTAAGGACACACAATTTTCTGCAAAGTATTGTACTTTGCGAAAGAATAATATTAAGTAAGATTAAAATAAATGTTTAGCTTATGCTAAAGAATGGAATATGTTAATCAAAGCAGTAACTTTTTAGTAGGTTTTGAAAGAAGTGTTAAGAGTTCTGCATTTTAATTTGTTTATTTTTCCCAGAAAACACAAAAAACAAAACGCAAATACCTAAATGAACATAATCATTATGACTCACACTAGGCTTCACAGTTTTAGTCCTCATAAATGTAGTTAACATACCTGTGTGGTTATTGATTAGTATCACCAAAATAACATAGCACTTATGGTTAAAACATTGGTAAATATGTTGTATATTTAGGTTTTATACCTAATACCACAGTAAAATGATTCATTAAATAGAATTAGAGTGTATGATGTGTTTGATACAATGACAGACTGTAGCCAATTTTTAATGGGTATTAGAATCAAGATACTACTAAATACTTAGTGTTACTGACATATGACCCATACCTTTCCCCCCAGAAGTTAGACATCCAAAATTGGGGTGTATGAATAAGAGCTTCGTCGCACAGTAATTTTAGGCAGCTCACGGAGCTCTTGACTCCTAGATTGTCCACACATTAAGATGTATAAACTAGTAGTAAGCACTTTTTAGGCATTTTGAAGTTATGCCACTCCTGGGCAAGTTTATCTCTAATCCATATTACCTAGCTCATGTGGCCACTCCCCAGAGATAAGCCACCCAAGTTTCAGTCCTCCAGCATCCCAGGATGCAGTGCCTCCTCCCCCCACCCTCTTGTTCTGTGTGGGCAGACTTTGTACCCCCTGAACTCTATTGCCCATGGGATGGGATGGGTACCTAGCCAAGTGCCCCTCCTGATCCTGGAGGTGTGACCTGGATGGGCAGCTCACCTGGGCAAAGACCAGTCCTGGATGGAGGGCTAGGGGGAGAGGAGTGGGGAGCAAGGTAGTGTGCTAGATTGGGGTCCCTATGAGATGGGTCTTCCCAATCTCAATCCCAGTCCCAATCCCAATCTCAATCTCAATCTTAATTTATTAAAACATGAGGCTTTCTTTAATGTACTTACTCTTTATTTCTTTTTATATGTTTTTACTTATTTTTATTCTATCCCTTAGTGGCTTCAGTGACTGACTTCCTTCATTTCGCCACCCAGCCCCAAGCTGCCACATTGCCTTTCCACCTTCCATTTCACTACATAGTCCCCATCATTAAAACTTTTCCCCATCCAGCCTCCTGTTCTTCCCTCCCTACCCCACCTACGCCCATCAACCCATCTTTCCAACCCTGGCTCACCAGCTCTCCAGTGGCAGCTTACAGCTATAGCTCCTAGTTAAGCCCCTGCTCACCAACCCCCTAGTGGCAGGTCATAGCTGTACAGTTTGGGAAGAGTCAGGGAACATGAACTACTGTACATGAACATATAGCTACTGTAAACTTGAGCTAACACTAACACCAATCAACATTTGAGAAGCTTATAGTATAAAGTGTAACAAAGCCCTTAGTGAGGAAGCTGATTTCTGCACCAGAATGAAGGCATGGGGACACTGGAATAGCTGCTGGGGGCTCTGCCTCCTTCCTGGCCCCATGCAACAGGGGAGTAATCTGTTCTTTAGCATCACTCACCTTCCCCTTCCTGTTCAGCCAAAAGTTAGAAGTTTAACGCTGTCACCACTGTTGGTGAAGTGCTAGTAGATTTTGGCTGACCTGTTCAGCAGCAGCTGTGACAGGTTAAGGCTGAAGAACAGACTCTGTCCTTCTCCTTGTAGCCAGCATTCAGTTATGACTCTGGAAAAAAAATTTCTCTTCATTTTGCCTTCCCAAAATAAGACGCATCTTATTTGAGGGGCAGAGGTTGATATATGGCGAAATATGCTATTTACACAAATCAAACTCCTTTGAAGGTATTCGAAATCAATCAAGGTGTGCTCAAGAAAGATAACATTGGGTGTGTCTACATGAGATGCTTGCTGCACAGTAGACTACTTAGCTGCACAGTAAATGTCACATGTTTACACGTGCGCCCCTATTAGGCTGGAGTAAACTAATTTACTCTGCAGCAGGATAGTACTTGTAAATACAAGTAGTATCATGCTTTTGAGTAAAAAACTCCACAGCAGTGGACATGTAGATGCTGCCCTGGCTAGCTGGACTGTGATGGTGCTTTGGCTAGCCCTGCATTGAAACACCCTCTTGCCCCAGCCAGCCCCTCCACTGCACATTGAGCCAGGGGGAGCAGCCCTAGGCTAGCAGGCTGACCCCCACCGCCTGGACCGTCTGCCAGCCCAGGCTGCTCTGCCCCGGCTTAATGTGATGTGGTCCTGGAGTGCATTAATATTCAATTAATTGCTTTATTCAAGTGCATTAATATGCATGTGTAGATGTGCCCACTCTTAGCTATATTTTCATGGGATGTAGGCTGAATATGTATCTAATGAACAGGCAATCATATATTATTTGTCAAAGAGGTTAGCCTGAAGTCAGGCAGAGGGCAGGGCAGAGTGGCACCTTAGACGACATGGTTCAGTGAGGCAGCGACAGTCTATGGTAGCATCTCAGGAAGTAAACTGTTGCCTCTCTGAACCATGTTGTCTAAGGTGCCATTCTGCCCTGCCTTCTGCATCTCTCAAAGTGAAAGTGTGTGCTTTTTAGATAAAATAGCTTGACTAGAATTTATTAAGTGATTACTTATGTTTTGCTGCTTGTCTTGGTTTTGATATTTGCCTTGGCTTTCTTCTAGGTCTTCTAATTAAGGAAAAGTCTTATTGTTTGCCAACATTTTCAGAAAAGATTTCCTTGATAAGTTTACCATACTGAAGAAGGGGGAAGTGGAGTGCAACATGATATTTTACTTAAATACACTGCCTGAATCTCCTGAGAATAGTATCTAGGACTTAACATTTCCACTCACTATCATGAGTAGGAAGTTTATATTGGTGACTTCCACCAGCATCAGGAAAACCTGATTTTTCACTTATAAAATAAAAAATGTTTGTTACATAGTTGTGAAAATAACATTTTAAATTATATCTGCACATAAACTGATACTGAGGGCAGTCTATTTCAATGTGCAAACAATTTTAGTACCTCTGTTACTTCTCATGGATTTTCCAACTGCAAAGTTAGTCAGTGTAAGAATTGTGTAAGTTTTTATTGCTACTATTCAGACTCCTCTAGGTGGTGGTGAAATTATCAAGGATCAGAAAAGCTTGTTTTTCACTTTGAAAAATGCTAAGCAATACTAGAGCCAAAGAGACTAACTACTCACTGGGGAGGGCCTGAACACAGGGGCTAGTAAGCAAAGTCATGTCCTTCACAACCAGAAAGCTGGGAGAGTAGCAGAGGGTTGGAGCAAGCTGGGGCATAAGATAGAGGAAATGGACAAAAGAGGCTCCTTCTTCTACCTTCTAGCTGATGGAGTAAAAGGGCTTAAGGGAAAGGGTTTAAAATTTGGCAAGTCTATAACAGCTGGTCAAATGAAACCTCTAATAGAGCCCAGGGAAGGGCACCTAGGTAGACATCCCATCAGCTTAAGCGTTGCTTTTGTTTTTGCCTTGGCATTGCCCCTAGGCAGTGCCTTTTTTCCATCTTTATTTTTTTTAATCAGATTTTCATTAGTATACTTAATCTTTTGAATAATGAGTGTTGGTTAAAATTTCCCAGACCTATGTATAAGAGAGGAGAAGTGTTAAAAGGTATTTTAGAATGTAAAAGTTTGCCATTGGGAAAAAAATTTGGAGGAAGATGTGCAAGAGGAAAACTGATAAAATATAGCAGAAATGTTAAAGAACTCAGGAAAAATAGAGGAGAAAAGAGGTTAAAAGGAAAGAAGTAAACAGGCACTGAAATGGCACCTGAAAAGGTATGCCAAGATCTGTTTTCTGAATTTTATAAATTGAATTGGGATCACCCATATTCCTGGTGATTGTCTTAGCCACGGGCATAAATTAGGTCTTCTCTTTCTCTCACCTAATAATTATATAATTGTTTATAGAAAATGGAACACATCCAAAAGGAGA